ACTAGCATGGCTCACGTTGAATGATAAGCGCACCAGCATTCCCGTTTATATCGAGCATGAAGCACAGTTTTTCATTGTTGACCCTGACTAGGGTAACTCTGAATATCAGCCTAAAAACAGGCAGCTCGTTTGCCGATGTGGACATTTGCCCAGCTTTTCAGATATCCACTCTCCACACCGGTGCAAAATCCAGCACACAGGCATTGCAACAGGAAGTGACTTTTACACATGAATCTTTCAGTGTGTGTCCAGCATATAAAGGTTTAGACTCTAAGACAGACTCTTTCTGAAGTGTTGGGATCAGTCCCTGGAAGTCCTGTTCTGACCTTTTACAGCTGCGTGGTTTCATCCTGCACCTGACAGCTGTCCAGCAACGACCCAGAAACAACCCACTGCACAAAGTCATTTTTGGACATTTTGCTCTACTGAAGGGGTTGTTTTATAACGGCAGGCGTCTATCATACTTCTAGTGTCGATGTCCATACGACCTCCGTGTTCGGGGTATTTATAGTCCAAACATGGTCGTTGTGGACGCCTTTTCAATGTCAAACTTAGACTCATTTTAGATATCGTTTTCGTAATGCTTCCACATGTATAGGCTCTGTATTCCCATGTTTCCAGATGGGCATGTTTATCCATGATGGCGCGGGCTCTTAAACTAAACAACAGTGAGCAGCTGCTCGGGGGAGCAGAAATGTCTTGAGCTTCTCACAGACAGTTTGCAAAACGTGCACATTGACAAAGACTGTGGAGCAGACAGTCCAGTTCCTACAAACACACTTGCACAAACTTCTCGGACTTTCCATCACAACTCCTCCCAGTCCTACTTCCGATCACACACTCACTTCCTCTGACAAGACTCTTTACAATAAGACAGGATACCAACCTCACTAAAATAAAAACAAACTATATATAATGCAAATGCACTTTTGAACTTGTTAAACACATCGTACTCCTATTGAAATGAATTCCAACATTGTTCTAAATACTTTAACCATTATTATTTTATATTTTTAACATATATTTCAAAGTTTTTAACATTAAAAAAATTATGAATCCCAGTTTTAAACTGGTTACAAACAAGTAAGTTGATTAATTAAAATAAATAAACCAGTTAAAGCAGGAAAATTAAAAACCACAATAACAAAAAACCCAACCCACACGTGCTGAATAAATCAATAGGCTAACGCAGCGGTCCCCAACCTTTTTTGCGCCACGGACCGGTTTATGCCCGACAATATTTTCATGGACCGGCCTTTAAGGTGTCGCGGATAAATACAACAAAATAAAACTAGTACCGGTACCGAAAAACAGAAAATTTATTCATAACACACGTGAAAAGACCAAGGAAAACCGAGTAAACGATAAAAACGATAACAAAATAACGCTGAAAACCGATAAAAACCCTGAAAACTATACATTTCACACCTGAGCTTCAACTCTCGCGGCCCAGTACCAAACGACTCACGGACCGGTACCAGTCCGAGGCCCGGGGGTTGGGGACCGCTGGTGTAACGCATAATAAATTGTGTTTGTTTATAAATAATCCGTGTTTATACATATCATGTTGTAAATGTAAATAAAAAGATTTTACATGTATCAATCATGTAAATTTCCTAACCCTGTCACAGACATGATGTCCCAAAAAAGTCCAACGTTCAAATGTTGAACATCATATTGATGTCCAAGTTGGGTCACGGTAGGATGTCCAATTTTCAGACCTTGTTTGGACGCCGTATAGACGTCCAGAATTGGTCATGGACCGACTGACCTGATACAGACATGATCTGTACGTCTTTCCGATCTCCATTATTTAATGGGAAGGTTCAAAAGGCTCATGAGTGCCTTTGCTGCCTATGTCATCATGGGGCTGTTTACCATGATTTTGAAAATCAACATCAAATGTTGGTGCGGTGCCCTGATGCATCGCAGGGAGAACATTTAGTACAAAGGCCTGACATTTTCATAAATGCCACTGTGCACACATTGTTGTATCTGGATATGATAGTGAGTTGTGGCTCACCACCAGATCTCACTTACCAAATGGGAATCTGTTCTGCTTCCCAAAAGTGATATTCAAGTTTCAAGATAGTGGTTTTAAGTCGGTTTAAAAACGGTAGACCAGAGCGTGTCAACAAAGTGCTTCTGTAGGCGGTCAGAACAGGACTATCAGGGCAGGATCCAGACGTGGCAATAGAGCTGGAAGTGGTGCATTTCTGAACCATTTAATGACCTTAAAAGGGGATTGCACCCAAATTTAAATTTGGTACTTTTTTTTATGAGTGTGGTCATTTTGATTGCACCTGTGTGCACCGCAAGCGGAAAAATAAATTTTTAGTGAACTACATTTTGATTTGCTTTGCAGGAACCTGTCTGCCACACACCTCTTCAAAGAGGAACAAAATATAAAGGTTAAATTAGTGCACTGTGGGATTTTTCCACTCCTAACAGACAAATGACGTATGAGTTGCGCTCGGGGAAATAAAATTACCTGCTCGTGGATGATGTCCGACAGCTCTTTTACCATTTCTTTGAAATTGGTTTTCAGGCCCTCGTGATACTCAAACTGGTCCTCTTTGATCAGACGCTCGTTTATGTCCAGCGCCATGCTGCAAGCCTCGACAAAACGTCTGGAATCAGAAGCGAAAGACATTATGTCAACAAGTTAAAGTGAGGGTTAGCCAATAAGCCCCTTACGGTTTTTTCTACTCATAAAGCAGACATATACCTGAAAACATCCTTGAGCTCTTTTACTTTCTTGTTGCCGGACTGGTTGGATTTACTGTCATCCAGGAATGCTCTGGCATACGCCATGGGGCCTGCGTTCACCTGCAGAAAAACATGCCTCAAAATGTAACGCATTCTTCTTCACTGATCAGTGCACGCAGATAACAACTGGTACATACCACGCACTTTCTCAGCAGCCCCCAGCACAGTTTCACTACTATAGCTTCTAGGGGTGGGGGAACAAATCGACACTGTGTAGTATCGTGATATTTTGTTTGCTAATAATGTATCGATACAGGGACAGCAGAAATCGATATTTTGTTACAAAAAACGTTTTTGTGGACTGGA